CTAATCAATCCGACCTACCGAATTTCATAAGGATCGGACGACTATATCCTATAACCGCCATATAACTGATTGATCGGAAATGCCATAGCTTTGGTGTTTTGTGAAGTTAGGAAGTTGGGACTTTTTATGAGTATTAAGAATGCATCATATGAATAATTTTGGAGAATATAATTTATAGAATATTCTGCAAGGGTATATCAACTTCGGCTCCGCCCGAAGTTAGCTTTCCTTTCTTGTTTTGTAGTATTTTTTAGGGTTAGCGCATTATTTTTTTTTTGCGATTTTGGTTGCGTTTCTATTTTAAAGACTGAATTCGGGGAAAAACAGAAACTTTTGGTGTCATTCTTGGTGTAAATCTGTAGCAAAATGCCAAAAGGAACGGAGTTAAACTTAAAAAAAAAAATTATTTTATTTTTGGCCAATCAATCCGACCTACAAAATTTCATTAGGATCGGCCGACTATATCTTATAGCTGCCATATAACTGAACGATTAGAAATGTCATAACTTTGGTGTTTTTAAAGTTAGGAAGTTGGGACTTTTTATGAGTATTAAGAATGCATCATATGAATAATTTTGGAGAATATAATTTATAGAATATTCTGCAAGGGTATATCAACTTCGGCTCCGCCCGAAGTTAGCTTTCCTTTCTTGTTTTGTAGTATTTTTTAGGGTTAGCGCATTATTTTTTTTTTTGCGATTTTGGTTGCGTTTCTATTTTAAAGACTGAATTCGGGGAAAAACAGAAACTTTTGGTGTCATTCTTGGTGTAAATCTGTAGCAAAATGCCAAAAGGAACGGAGTTAAACTTAAAAAAAAAAATTATTTTACACCTACATAATGAGGGTCGAATTATTAAATATATTTGTGGGATGTTTGACAGAAGTCTTTTAACCATAAGGAGTATCATTTCCCGACTGAAATCCAGAAATTCCCTGGAAAATCTACTCCGTTCTGGCCGTCTGAAATCATTAACCTGCAGGGAAGAGAGGAAAATCCTCGAAGAAAACAGGAAAAATCCGCACATTTCGGCTCCGAAAATTAATACTGTCATATCCACACCCCTGGGAACAAACGTATCCAATGAAACCGTCCGAAGAGTGCTCAGGAGCCAAGATCTGCATGGGAGATGCCCTAGAAAGAAACCCTTGCTCTCAGCCATAAATATATTAAAGCGGCTTTCTTTTGCTCAAACGTATTTAGACCGGAATTTTGAGTACTGGGAACAAGCAATATTTAGTGATGAAAGCTAATTTAATATATTCGGATCTGATGGAGAAGGAAAAGTTAGGCGAAAGCCCTGTGAAAAGCTTAAACTGAAAAATGTTAAACCAACGGTAAACGGTACGGCGGTTCCGTACTAGTTTGAGGGTGGCCGCTCGAGGAGTTGGAATGTTGGTTTTTATAGACGGAATTATGAATGCTGAAGGATATCTTAAAATATTAAAGGAAAATTAACATTCCAGTGCCACCAAAATAGGTCTAGAAGGCGGCAAGTTCATTTTCCAACAGGACAATGATCCGAAACATACGGCTTGGGAAGTCAAGAATTGGCTTTTGTACAATATTGCTGAAGGAATGGTCGAATACACCCGAAGTGAGGTGCCGAAAACTAGTGGAGTCAATGCTACAGTCAAGCATGGTGGGTGTTATGGTTTGGGCTTGTATGGCAGCTTCTGGCTTATCATGGGTGTCCAAGATGTACCTACAGATTTTAAAAGAAACTCTGCTGCAAACTGCTGAAAAACTGGGCATCGATTTCGATTATACCAGGACAACGATCCGAAGCATTCAGCAGGAATTGCGAAGGCTTGGCTTGTCTGGAACCGCCCTCATGTCGTCATAACGCCAGCATAGCCTCCAAATTTAAATTTGATCGAACATTTTTGGGAAATATTGGACATTGCTATAAGGAATAGGAAGATTTCGAACAAAAACGGCCTGAAAAGTGTTTTTATGGAAGAAGAGCCAAAAATTCCAGTGGAAACCACTAAAAAGTTTGTTTCTTCCATGGGAAATTGTCTCAAAGCTGTCCTGAACCAGAAAGAAGGACACACAAAATTTTAGCTTTTAAATTACAAATAATAAGTTAAGTAGAATATACTGCACGAAATAAGCTGCGGCATGAAAAAAGCCTGTACATTTTGTTCTTTTTAAATAATTCTTTTGTTTTTATGATTATGAAAATCGCTTTTTTTAATAAACATGTTAATATTCCCTATTAAAATACTGCATTTAAATTTTTCTTTTATCTTTCTTAGTTTAGCAGGAATAACGACTTAAACTTTTTTAGGTAACTGCACGAAATAAGCTGCGAGCCACTGTATTTAAATTAATTTAAAATTATTACAAGCTCAAACATTTTTAAGGATGTGAGAAAAAGTTTTTTTTCCAAGCTGTTTAAATTGTTTGAAATTTTAAAGGTGATACGACGAAAGACATTCCTTAAGAATATGTTTGAAAATATGTGTATAGGCTTATGTACCATTGATCAACTTTTTTTTTTCTGAAATAAGTTTTTTATGAGAAATCGGTATACAGTGACTCCATCGCTTAATCGGACAAGTACCTTTTTATGATAAATGTGCACTAAAAATATACTAAATGGGCTTAATTAATTTTTTAAAATTTTTTTATTATAAATATACACTTTTATCTCTCTAAAACAAAAGAAAAAACTTAACATTTTTGTTAAGAACCCAAAGTTTTCAAACAAATACAAATTTATATCGATATTTGGCGCTCAACGAATAATCGGACAATCCCAAAATGAACACAAAAAATCGTTTTTTTATTTTTTAATTAATTAATAAAAATCAACAAAAAAATTGTTTGTGCTTAATAACTATTTTATTACCGTCTTCCAAAAAACCCCTGTTTTCATCAAATATACTTTTGTATATTTAATGCGATTTTATTTGTTCTTGGGGCTAATAAAGGGCTTCTTCCTCACAAATCTTCCGTGGAAATCGAATTTATGTAAAGTATTACGCACAGTATTGAGACACACGTCTTTACCAGTTCGGTTTTGTAAAGAAATCTTTAGTTATTTAGCAGTTTTGAAGGGATCTTGTTTAATTTCTTTTAAAACCGACCTCTCTTCTCGGTTATTTAAGATCTTGTTTTGGCCTTCCCTGCTTTTATTGGCAAATCTAAATTTATCACGGAACCGCTTAATAATGTCGTGGACCGTAGATTTGCTTTTTCCAACTAATTCGGAGATTTCCCTTACAGTTTTTCCTTCAAAATGTAGCTTAACAACTAACTGCCGAAGTTCTACAGAGGATTGCTTTCCATTTGGAGCCATTTTTCTACTTTATAATAGCAAATTTATGTTTTCTGCTCCTAATCTCTATTATAAACCAAACGCTATTCAAAAAGCCTAAAGTTTGCATCGAATTCCAATAAAAAAAACGATTTTTTGTGTTCATTTTGGGATTGTCCGATTATTCGTTGAGCGCCAAATATCGATATAAATTTGTATTTGTTTGAAAACTTTGGGTTCTTAACAAAAATGTTAAGTTTTTTCTTTTGTTTTAGAGAGATAAAAGTGTATATTTATAATAAAAAAAATTTTAGAAATTAATTAAGCCCATTTAGTATATTTTTAGAGCACATTTATCATAAGAAGGTACTTGTCCGATTAAGCGATGGAGTCACTGTATGTAACTTTTAGTCGAGGAAGCTTTGAGTTGAGGACACTCGCAGCATTTTATATAAATTTTTTTTAGGGTTTTCACATACAGTGGCTCACAGCTTAAAGTATGCACTTCAAACCCCTAACTTCAAACTTCCATAGTGTTAAAACTATTAGGCGTACTGCAACAAATGTGGTGTCAAATTAAAGATGATATTGTTTAGATTAAATTAGTGACTTCATTTATTGTTTACTTCTTCGTTTTATAACCAAAACATAACAAAATAATAAAATACTGCCTATTTCTACCTCACAGCTTATTTTATGCAGCACCAAAAATATAAAAATGTTTGGAAAGTATTTATTTTTTTTTGTTTGTTTAGTATTTAGTTTGGTAGCCTTTAGTGTCTATTACCGCTTGAAGCCTTTTTGGCATCGAATCCACTAATTTTTTTGTCAGATCGGCTGATATAATGCTCCTCTCTTTGAAAAGACCATCCTTCAGCTGGTTTTGGTTCGAAATGGAGTCTTTTCGAATATTATTCTCCAAAATTGCTCACAAATTTTCGATCACGTTTAGATCTGGAGATTGAGACGGCGGAATCATCATATGGGGACAGTTGTAGCTCAGCCAAGACTGCACAACACCCGCCTTGTGCTTTGGATCATTGTAATGATAAAAACGGAAATTTGACCTTATTCCCAGATCCTCCGCACTTTGCAACAAATTGTCCTTGAGAATATTGAGATATTTCATTTTGTCCATTGTAGACTCAAAAAAGTCCAGTTTTCCCGGACCAGCAGCGGACATACAGGCCCAAAAGCCATTTATATGCCCCAAAAAATAAGTTGTCCATGCTAACATATGCCAAAGCTCACCTATTGATGACACCAGACTTTTGGAACACTGTAATTTTTGCAGATGAATCAAAATTTAACATTTTTGGATCGGACGGAAATGCTTATGTTTGGCTAAAAGCTGATACGGAGCAACAGAAGCAGAACTTAAAGGCTACAGCAAAGCACGGTGGTGGGCACGAGATTGTTAATTGTTTAATCTAAACAATATCATCTTTAATTTGACACCACATTTGTTGCAGTACGCCTAATAGTTTTAACACTATGGAAGTTTGAAGTTAGGGGTTTGAAGTGCATACTTTAAGCTGTGAGCCACTGTATGTATGTACATTTGTGAGAGTAAGATTGTCTTGCCAAATTCAGTAATAGTCATTTTAATTTGAAGTTTGAAATTATTTTACCTTGAGAAGTACTAGTTTGAAATTTAAATTTGTATCTGCTTATTTGCATCAGGGCCCAAAGTAAAACATTTTTTAACGTCTAATTCAAAGGACTTTTTTTGTTACCTTAATAACATTGTATTTGTATTGTCTTATTCAAAACATAGTAGCGGAGTTGTTCACTAATAAACACAATTTTAATTTAAACCTCTTTCCACGGTTATAATTAATACCACCTGAAGATTCTAAATTTGTTGTATTATTATTTCTGTAAATTGTTGGTATACTTGCATGTAAATAGGAACTATTGGCAATTGTTTATTCCTCAAGCACATTCAAGAAAAATACCAAAACTAATCAATGTAAAAAATTCATGGTAAACATACGGGATTACTTTGTTTGATGTTTAATATCCCTTGTCCATTACACTTTATTCAGACCAGAGTCGCAACAGCCTTGCGTTGTTGTAAAATGTAATGTAGATGTTTTAAATTTTTTAACATGCATCGATATAAGTTTTAAAAAACGATTTAAATTGACAACATTTCACACATTATAATATATATTTTTAGTATTTGATATTAACCGTTGATGTTCTAAGCCACCAAAACAACAATAAATATATATATGAGAATTAAAAAAAGGAAAAAATACTTGAAATAAAATAAAAATATTTAAACATACCGAACGAGAATTTAAAAATAAGTTAATATTAAATTAACTAATTTTTATTATTATTTTATTTTATTATTATATATATTAGTGGGGCTTCCTATAGCAGCGTGAATGTTTGCAAATATGCTCTATATATAAAGTTAGTTCTTTCTTTTCTTAAAAAGTCTGAACTTAAGCTTCTTGAACTACCTGACAAAAGCGAGAAAATTAAGAAATACAAACATGACATGTTTCAAAATTTCCACCACTTCACCATCTTTGCTAAAGCCTAGTACTCAGATCGAAAAACGAGTTCGCTAGAAGAAAGACTTTAATCTCTCCAGTGTCTTTTCGAGAGTTCATCAGAATTAAGCGTGATACGGTCGTACGGTCAATCAGCTGGGCTTGTTGACAATCAGTTGGCAAGACAAGTCTGCCTCTGTACAAAGAAATTAAAAAACATTACAATTATAATTATTTGGTAATTTGGAGATCATAGCTGAACTAATTTCTTGCAGGCGATTTTTCTGGGTTTTTGTTGTGTTTTTCGATATGAGTACCGGGGTGTAAAAAGAGCCTGGCGAAAAGCGTTCGCCAGCTGTTTGCCTCTGGCTCCCTCTTATAGCTGACGTATAGATTTCGTCGATTTGAGTACTAGGCTTTAGCCTTATGTAGACAGGCAAATTGAGTTAAGAAACTCGACGCAGTGGAGAGTCCTTTATTCAAACGGAGTTTTGCCCTAACTCGACAACACCTTAACTCGTCTGCCGATTACGTCAAATTATCGACTAAATTCTTTATTGAGGTGGATAATATAATGACGTATATATGAGGTATAGACTTGGCCACACTTCCAGCGGTCGAAAAAATATGTATACAATTAAATGAAAATACAATATGAGTTTTTGCAATAAGTCAGCAATATGAATAATTGCATTGTTGAGGTGGAGTACGAATATGTTGTGTTAAAAGTAAGTTTACAAAAGTGAAATTCTTATGTATAAGTATCGCCTTAAGCATTTACCAATTTCAAATCATTAAAAATTGTTTATTTTCCAGATAAATGGTTACGATATTAGTCATTTGCCAAGGTATGAAGCGGTTCAAAAGTTCCTTCAAGCTAAAGAAACCCTTGTTGTTGAATTGTGCAGACAGAATAATAATGCATTAGATTTAGAACTGAAACCAGACGCCAATCCCAAATTGTCAGATGTGGACAAAACCGACTCGATTCTGCAATCAAACAAATGCGAAGCTGCCTTTTCTGCATTATTCGAAAAGCCAGCAGAATTAGACCCATCAGCGTCAACAAAAACAGCCTGTACCTCTCAACAAGTGGATTTCATCCCGTCCACAATTCCTGCACCTTCGGAAGGAATCACAACAAAGAATCCTGTTATATTAACTCTGCGTGCTTTAGGCCATGAAAAACGTTTAGGGTGTTCTGCACTTATTGCGGCTTCGAAGGAAACACAAACTCATACCTCAATCGATAACGACGTCTTAAAAGATCAGGACTTAGTACAGCAGATAACTGACCACTTTATTGAGCAAGAACACCACTTGTTTGAACAATGCTTGGAACCGGAAATTGATATTGAGGTATGTAGTGAAAAATGAATGTCTTCTTTTTAATACATCTCCTTTTTTCTGCAGGACTAAGAAAACTTAAGCTCTGTATTTTAGTTTAACTTTATATATTACCATTTGACAGATTTACATCTTATGCTATATTTTTTTACACCCGTTCCTCTAATTATGGTCAGATTTTAGTATTCCACACCCCTGGCCCTAAATTAAATGCTCTTAGTCATTATTAGTATGTCTGTCTGATTTTATGCGATTTTCTTTTTTAGTTTAAATCAGAATAGACCACTGCCAACACACGTACATATAAAACATTATGCAACCACATGGCTGTGGAAATGATTTACGCATACGGTTGGCCTCCAAAGTCATGTTATTGGATTAGTTTTTAGAGACTTTGAATGTTTTCATATCAAATGTAGTTATTAGAATATATAAAGTCGGCCAGAATAACCTCCTATTTGCTCTACAACATTAAATTTTAAACCTTTTTTTTTGTTTGGCTTAAAGAGGGCCAGAACTGCCCTTTGAATTCTTTGTAAATACATTGGCAACCGGAAGTTTTGATCTTCTTGCGACAGTGTGCACTGCGCGAATATCATTATGGACGGCAGAACATGTAGTGAAGATGCGCACCAGAAGTGGTGGGGGGACTAGGCGTGAAATACGAGTCGAATGAACCCCCTTGCTATGACCCCGAGCGCTGTTTAGAAGTTATTCAATAAATACTTTATTTTTTGTAGTTTTCAAAATAAAAATGTTTGAGTATTTGTCGGAATCAAATATAATGTAAAGACTTAGGATCCTGTATTAATTTTTTTTTTGTTGGCCAGCTCGATAAAAAAAGTTAGCTTCCAAACAACTAAAGCTACACCCATGTGCTGTCAGTAAAAAGGTATTTTGAAATGTTAATCATTTCGTTTACCATTCGGCACTCTGTAACAGAAAATGCTTGTGAAGGCAAAAAGGTGAAATTCTTTGCTAAAGCGGGCATAACGCGAATAACTTTAAAAATATGTGAAGAAAAATGATTAAACATTAACTAAATAAATGTATACTAGTTTAATCATTTTCTTCGCAAATTTCTTCACAACGAATAATTCTTAGAAAACATCTTTAATTAATCGCTAAAGGATCTTAACACAATCAGAGTACACAAAACAAACTAGCTTTTGGAAAATTTTATGTTGATAGCCCTTACACTGCGCGAATAATTTGCATAGAGTCATACCATATATGTCAGAATAGAGTCAGCTATAGGATAGGGTCATTCGATTTTGATAAAACTCAAGGTCCAAAAAGAAAAAAAAATAACTTCGGCAAGCCGAGTTTATCAACCCTTGCAGTTATTATAAAACGACTAAGTTTTATGCCTATATTACTAAAAACAAGAAAGGAAAGCTAACTTCGGGCGGAGCCAAATATACCCAAATATACCGATATACCCTTGCAGAATATTCTGTAAGTTATGGCATTTCCAATCTTTCAGTTATATGGCAACTATAGAATATAGTCGGCCGATCCTTATGAAATTTGGTAGGTCGGATTGATTGGCCAAATATAAAACCCATAAAAAATCCCAACTTCCTAACTTTACAAACTCCAAAGTTATGGCATTTCCGAGCAATCAGTTATATGTCGGCTATAGGATATAGCCGGCCGTTCCGACTTATATACTTCGTGCAAAGGAACGAAGAGAGTGTGCAAAGTTTCAATTTGATATCTTTAAAACTGAGAGACTAGTTCGCGTAGAAATAGACAGACGGACATGCTTATATCAACACAGGACGCGATCCTGATCAAGAATATATATACTTTATAGGGTCGGAGATGTGTTCTTCACTGCGTTGCACACTTTTGACTAAAATTATAATACTTTTTGCAAGGTTATAACAATGAAGCTATCTCGATTTTGAGCTGCATTTTGAAATCTTTTCTATGGCCGCTAAATGATATTGTTGTCCCAAAAATATTTTGATAATAGAAAAACAGCATAATAAAAATATTTATCATTTTTAATTTTTTGATTTTCCTATGTGAGCCCTATGATAGAGATGTCCAATTTTAATTAATTCTATAGTATTTAAATAGTAGTAAATCCCAAACAAGAAAAAAATTTAAAACAACAAAGTTATACTTTGTAAAAATATTTTTTCCGATTGTTCCCATATGAAATAGTCGCCCGATCCGGCTCATCTTATATACGACAACTTTTGGGAAAGTTTCAAGCAGATAGCTCTAAAACTGACGAACTATTTTGGGTAGAAACGACGGACAGACGGACGGCGGATAGACGGACATGGCAGGATCGACTCTCCTGGTGATTGGGGAAAAAAATTTTAAAATTTTAAAATTTTAACTTCGTTGCAGCAGTGTTTTGATCTACAATTTCTAGTTATTTACTTGGCACAGAAAAATAAAACGACCTACTAAGTCGGGGCTATCAATCTCACCAAGAATAATGTTATAAATGAAACAGTACCAAGCATTGTTCTACGATTAGTTAGGGAGGGTAAACTAAGTAACACTAATCTACTAGAACAAGAGATCCATTTTCAGTGTCCACGTGCAAAAGACTTGACAACGGAAAAGTGATTTAAATAATCTGGAAATATAGACAACGGCGGAATAAATGACCACACTATGTAAATAAAATTACCACGAAATGTTAACTTTACGCAAATAATTTCAATTAAGACCACGTCCCCTTCTAGAGAGACCGTCATATATATATATTGTGTACTTGCCTTCAAAAAGTTCGGTGTTTCGGATCTCCGGGTTTAACCAGGTTTCTGTAAACACGAAATTATAAGATGCAAAGTAAAGGCTATCAGAACACAATTTAGTTAGCTTTCTATGCTATCCTGTTATATTCTGATAGGAAAGAAGGAGGTTAGAGGTTGATTTTTTGAAGTTTATCAACCCTTGCAGTTATTACAAAACGACTAAGTTTTATGCCTATATTACTAAAAACAAGATTGGTTTGGCCTTGACTAGGAAGTCTTACTCCCACGGGGGTCCCTTTTATACCCTTGCAGAGGGTATTATAATTTTGGTCAGAAGTTTGTAACGCATTGAAGAGACGTTTCCGACCCCATAAAGTATATATATTCTTGATCAGGATCAATAGGGAAGTCGATATAGCCATGTCCGTCTGTTTCAATACCGTTTGCGAGCTCAGTTTATAAGCTAGCGATCTGAAACTTTCATAGTCGTCCTATCGGACGTCTATATCCTATAGCTCCCATAGGAACAATAGGGTGAAATCGGTACAAATTTAGTGTTTTTCAGGACATTTCGCGCAGTATATAAGCTATTGACATGAATCTTTCCAAATCTTATTTTTTTATGCATACCTTGAAACTTTGCACACACCCTTCTTTCCTTTGCACGCAGTATATAAGTCGGAACGGCCGGGATCGGCCGACTATATCCTATAGCTGCCATATAACTGAACGATTGGAAATGCCATAACTTTGGTGTTTTTAAGTTAGGAAGTTGGGATTTTTTATGAGTATTAAGAATGCATCATATGAATAATTTTGGAGAATATAATTTAAGGAGTATTCTGCAAGGGTATATCAACTTCGGCTCCGCCCGAAGTTAGCTTTCCTTTCTTGTTTTCAGATGTCTTCGTTTTATGTAACATTTCGTTTGGTGATTAAAAGATGAAGAACATTTTTTTTTTTTTATTTGAGAAGGAAAATTTTTATTTTATTTCACAACAGTAATGAATTTATTTCGATTACAAAAATGTCTCGATGTGTCTCGTTTACAACCACAATGTATTGCGATTTAATTGGATCGCCAACAATAATTGCAACGACATCATTAACGGAGGGTGCGTTGAAACTTCGCACATGTTCACCTGTTGGGGTACAATCCGCTCTTATGAAAAATTTGTGCGTATCCGATTGCATTCGTTCCAAGCATTATTAGCGCGAAAAAATGCTTGCAACTGTACAATAATTCGTCTCTTGTGTTGTGTTCCCTGTATATTGCACCGCACATTCAGCTGAAATGCAGAAATTGATGCGGTTCATCTGGTGTGGGCACCATTGAACCATGCAAATGATTTTTTTGTCCTTGTATCTGTAATTGTAAAGAATCATTTGTTAAAGAATACTGTGTAACTTCTGATCGTGTGATGGTGTATATGTAGTTGTTATGTGTGGCAATTCATTGTGTTGATGTGAGTGATTGGTTATGTGTGTTGTATATTTTACCTTGCAAGTCGGCATGAAACCGCGTTCTCGAATGATATTAGCTCCAAAGGAAGTCATGCGAAAGCAGTTATTGTATTCAAGGATGTGTTGAAGAAAATGGCTGGAATCTTCATCACTTCCATCGAACAATGGTTTCAGTGACTGTGGTGTTGTAAGTAATGGATCCAGTTTGACTTTTTCACTTGCGCAGCACAATCCAGCCGTTTCTCTTTTGAACTTTAACGCATTGCAGTATCGGCATATAATCGTCATTGTTCCAATATCTAAATTTTCATCATCACTGTAGTTCGCAGTGGGATCATATTGGAATGCCAAGCGATTGTATGATGCCAATGATCCTCGTGTCCTCACGCGTTGTCCCAATCGGGCATTTTCTCTTATTATATTTTGTCTTTCTTCGCTTAAGTTCTGTGAATACACTTTTTGCTGGCTTGCATGTCTTGTGTGGCGGCCGATATTCGCTCGTCGTCCTCTAGCCATTTTGGACCATGGACAGAGTGGTGAATTTAACCTCAAATGCACGATCCACATAATTTACACAGTTCAACTTACCACCTTAAAGACAAATGCCTGCTGTTGAAATTGAATACAAATTTGCTAAATTTTTAAAATTTCTTTTTGAACACAATACCGGTTTGTCACATGAAATTAAATGAGCAGAGAGCAATGAGTAGCTGTCAAATATACTTGTATATATATATATATATATATATATATATCACGCATGTTATGTATCAGTGATGGCGCTGTATGAAAAATAAGATTTTCTCGCTTTTCTGTTGAATTTTTTCCTAATTTCTTAGCTATAAACCTCACGGAGCCCGAGACCTTTCCAACGAATGCAAAACCGTGGAAATCGGTTCGTGCGTTCTGGAGTTATAGCGTCAGGAAGGAAAACCCGACTTATTTTATATAATAAATTTTTGAGGTATAAAAGCTATTGACATAAAACTATGTAAATTTAAATTATTTATGTATACCTTGCACAGGGTAAAAGTTCTTGCAAATCATACAACTATATACTACAGCTGCCATTTAAAAATTAAATTGGTTATATAAAATTTAATTTCTTATTTTGCTCAGTATATTAGCTATTGCCAACAATTTTTCAAAGTCTGCAAGGGTATTAAAAGTTCGGATTGCCGAAGTTACCTTCCACGTTTTATCTATGTTTCGAATTCTTTTGCAACCATATTTTCCGGACGAAAGTTGCCAGAGCACATGACTTCAAAAAGCTCGTTTGAGACAGTGACCTTGAAAGATGAAATGTCCCTAGCGTAAGAAAGCTTAAACTTTTCTACCTTTACACTTTTGCCATTGCTTTAGTTTTATCTTGTAATTAAGACAACACATCAGAAGAAGTTTGATAAGGGTAAAACCGAAATATTAAAATTCCAGTCAAAAGTTTGCTACGCAGTGAAGGTGACGTCTCGGACCTAATAAATAATAATAAATAATCACCTGGGAAAGTTCGTGTTCCAATATTTCCTTATTAAGCCCTTGCAGCTATCTGCTTTCCCAAAAGTTGTCTTTCTATTGCAGGTAGTACATAAGTCGCAACGAGACGGATCGGACGACTATATCTATATCTCCCATAAGAACAATCGGAAAAAAGTTTTAAAAAGTATAATTGCTTTTTTTATTTTTTATTTTTTTTTGTTCTTTGGGATTGGCTAGTATTTAAATACTATGGAACAACGGTTTTAATTAAGATTTTATTTTAATTAAAACATCTATACATCTATATCATATAACACCCAAGCTTTTAGTTTTGTCAAAATCTAACAACAATGTCATATAACTGCCATAAAAACGATGGCAAAATGCAGCGCAAAATCGACATAGCTTCATTGTTTTTAGTAATATAGGCAGAGAAATCAAAATGTAGTCGTTTTGTAATAACTCCAAGAGTATGTAAACTATATATTAACCAGTTGCTTCAAATTGATTATAGCTGTACGATTTGTATTATTTTTGTTCTTAAATCTTAAAAAGTTACTATATTTCAAGTTCCGTTCTTAAAAGTTCAAAATCAACAAAAATTTTACGATTTTTGTATACATTTTTCAATAAAAGATTTATTCTATATTTTTGCCATTTTTCTTAACGTTATTTTAGGTTGAGTTCTATGTGTATATGTTCAAAAACAAAGAATCTTTCTATATAAATGTAAAATATAATATATATAAAAAATACATACTGCGTTTAATACCCAAAAGACTTTTGTTATAGATTCATCATAATAAATGTACACATAGGACAAGTTTATATACTCGAAGCTAATCAATTTGAAATCAATAATGAAAGACATCTTCATTATATTTGGAACTAAATAGTATGTTTTTTATTTAACAGGAAGTAACGCTCATTAAAGCGGTTGAAAATGCAAACAGCGATCAAATGGGGCTGATTGTTTGCTCTTCTGGATTTCAGTCGTCAAACATCGACACGAACAAAAGTGATATACTGTGCAATGATTCAGACCACTGCGAGGATGTGTTTATTAGTGGTATTCAACCGAAAAGTATAGCTTACCGAGATGGTCGCCTACGACAGGGTGATCAGATCCTTCGTATAAACGGTATGGATGTGAAAAACCAGGAGGAGGTAGAAGCACATATAGCGGAAAGTAGCACTGCAGTAACGCTCCTAGTTAGTCGAATCCTATACCCTGTAAGCTTGAGTTTGTCTTAACAGTGCCCAATTAAAATATATTTAAAATAAATTTAGTCAATTAAATTAAATTTAATTGAAATCGATAGCAAAGAATGTTATCCAGCTCTATGAAGGTTAGCCAAGAATCTATAAGAATATAATTTATAAATATTATATTAATTGGGCACTAGGCATTGTTTACGTATTTAGTTTTTAACTAATTATGATAATGTTAATCCGCTTTTAATAGGAAGACGAGGACGATGATGACATTAATTTTGAATACGCCAATACATTTTTACCAGATGACTACACGAATGTAGTGGATAAATTGGATAAGGTCTTAATAAGTCAAGTTCAGTCTTTTGAAGAAGTAGCCAATGAAACCAGGGTGAAGTCAGACAAATGTTTTCACTCGCCATCTGAACAGCATCTATTAGATTCCGATGTTAAAACATCTTCCTTACCAAAAAAAATGATTGACCAGTCCAGCAAGTCGTGTAGTAAAATCAAACTTCGTCCAGATGCGAGTTTGGATCATCGAACAACTTCAAATCAATCTTCAAGTCAAAATCAAGTTAATGTCCAATACGAGTACGACGAAAGTGAGCACATTTACGAAACCATTCCAGAAGATTCTGAATCTGAACCACTTTATTGTTCTCCGTACCAAAGTTCAAACGGGAAGACATCTATCGGTTCTTGTTCATCCGCAATAGCAACGACACAGGACGAAGCTTTAGAAAAGACAATGCAGCAACAAACTCAGCGAGTCGCTCAGTGGTTGGGCTTAAAACCGCAATATCCCAGACCTATACACACTTTAGTTGGTCGTCCCCTGCCATTGAAATTAACCCAGCAACCAACTTGTAGTCGTGTTTTTACATTGCGCAGCACATTGACCAACACAAGCCGATCCAGCAGTAGTGGAGTTGCATACAGCGCCTATGGACCAAATAATCTTGTTAATGGAAATGTGGCATCTGGCGAAGAAGTTGATAACTCATCAAGTGCCTATAACACTGGTGGCTCAAACAATAGCGCCTCGCCCCATCAAAATACGACAAATGTTGAGGACGATATCACTGCTATCCAAAAATTAGAAAATGCAGTGATTGATGATCCCAGAGAATATTTGGATACAAATGCTGTAAGCAGTATGTTGCTATTACCATTTGGCAAATCTGGTCGAATCGGCCTTTGTTCTTCCAATTTGCCAACAACGTATGTCAGCGGTAGGCAAATCAATAATAAAATACATTTTAATTTCTACTTTTGTTGCAAATGGTAGGCAAATCAATAATAATTTTAATATCTAGTTTTGTTGCAAATTTTAATTTACGTATATATATGCTTCCAAACCGTTTATTATCCGAAGACGTAATGTATAATTCGAACAGTCCGAAATATTTTATATATTTACAGCGCGGTATTTGTATAATATTGAAGGGGAAAATATAATTTTATACACGAAATTGGATTGCATTAAAATAGAGATGTTCGACCTTTAAAGTATATATAATCAGCATCACAACCATGTCCGTCTGCTCCTCTGACCGTCTCCGTTTGTACGAAAACTCAGTTGAAAAACTTTCTAAATAAAACTTCCATAATGGTCTTCCTTTTACTTCAGGTATTAAAGTCGTTGAGTTAATTTTCTGTTTCGGAAAGAAATATATTTTGATTTTCATACTAAAGTTTATCCGACTAAAACCTATTATTTTTTACCGACACGAGTAAAACAATCTTTTAGATAAAGCGAATTTGTGTTTCCGCAAAATGTGACTTTATCTTACTGGTTACAAACTGGAACCCTAACAAATCATTGAGAAATCAGCCATTTAAATTTTCTTAAACAGATTGTCTTCGCTTCTAAAAAAGTCTCTGCCTGTAAAGGCTCTTTTTATCGAAATGCGTTATGGTCTCTGTGGATTCAAGCAAAACAACTCTGCTATTTCTATTCAGATACTTTTCTGACGTCAAATAACTTATTTTCTTTTACGTCAATTAGATATAATAGAACTACGACCTTAATAGTTTGATAAGCTAATGAACAAATGGCCTTATTATTTATCATTTGTTGTTTTAAAAATAATCATTTACAACTTATCGACATATAGAATTTTATTACGGTTTTAGTAATACGTTTTTATACCCTTGCAGAGGGTATTATAATTTTGGTCAAAAGTGTGCAACGCAGTGAAGGAGACACCTCCGACCCTATAAAGTATATATATTCTTGATCAGGATCACCTCCTGAGTTTATATAGCCATTTCCGTCTGTCTGTCCGTCTGTCTGTTTCTACACGAACTAGTCTCTCAGTTTTAAAGATATCGAATTGAAACTTTGCACACACCCTTCTTTCCTTTGCACGCAGTATATATGTCGGAACGGCCGGGATCGGCCGACTATATCCTATAGCTGCCATATAACTGATTGATCGGAAATGCCATAACTTTGGTGTTTGTAAAGTTAGGAAGCTGGGATTTCCTATGGGTTTTATATTTGGCCAATCAATCCGACCTACCAAATTTCATATGGATCGGCTTATCCTATAGCTGCCATATAACTGAACGATTGGAAATGCCATAACTTTGGTGTTTTTAAAGTTAGGAAGTTTTCATTTTTTATGAGTATTAAGAATGCATCATATGAATAATTTTGGAGAATATAATTTACAGAGTATTCTGCAAGGGTATATCAACTTCGGCTCCGCCGAAGTTAGCTTTCCTTTCTTGTTTAAATCAATTTTATGTAGTGATCTCTAAAGAATTTACTAGATAAAAAACGAAAAAGGAAAACATATTTTTTATACCCTTGCAGAGGGTATTATAATTTTGGTCAAAAGTGTGCAACGCAGTGAAGGAGACATCTCCGACCCTATAAAGTATATATATTCTTGATCAGGATCACCTCCTGAGTTGATATAGCCATGTCCGTCTGTCCGTCTGTCTGTCCGTCTGTCTGTCCGTCTGTCTGTCCGTCTGTCTGTCCGTCTGTCTGTCCGTCTGTCTGTCCGTCTGTCTGTCCGTCTGTCTGTTTCTACGCGAACTAGTCTCTCAGTTTTAAAGATATCGAATTGAAACTTTGCACACACCCTTCTTTCCTTTGCACGCAGTATATAAGTCGGAACGGCCGGGATCGGCCGACTATATCCTATAGCTGCCATATAACTGATTGATCGGAAATGCCATAACTCTGCTGTTTGTTAAGTTAGGAAGTTGGGACTCTCTATGGGTATTATATTTGGCCAATCAATCCGACATACCAAATTTCATAAGGATCGGCCGACTATATCCTATAGCTGCTATATAACTGATTGATCGGAAATGCCATAACTTTGGTGTTTGTAAAGTTGGGAAGTTGGGATTTTCTATGGGTTTTATATTTGGCCAATTAATCCGACCTACCAAATTTCATAAGGATCGGCCGACTATATCCTATAGCTGCCATATAACTGATTGATCGGAAATGCCATAACTCTGCTGTTTGTTAAGTTAGGAAGTTGGGATTTTCTATGGGTTTTATATTTGGCCAATCAATCCGACCTACCAAATTTCATAAGGATCGGCCGACTATATCCTATAGCTGCCATATAACTGATTGATCGGAAATACCATAACTTTGGTGTTTGTAAAGTTAGAAAGTTGGGATTTTCTATGGGTTTTATATTTGGCGAATCAATCCGACCCACCAAATTTCATAAGGATCGGCCGACTATATCCTATAGCTGCCATATAACTGATTGATCGGAAATGCCATAACTTTGGTGTTTGTTAAGTTAGGAAGTTGGGATTTTCTATGGATTTTATTTTTGGCCAATCAATCCGACCTACCAAATTTCATAAGGATCGGCCGACTATATCCTATAGCTGCCATATAACTGATTGATCGGAAATGCCATAACTTTGGTGTTTGTAAAGTTAGGAAGTTGGGATTTTCTATGGATTTTATTTTTGGCCAATCAATCCGACCTATCAAATTTCATAAGGATCGGCCGACTATATCCTATAGCTGACATATAACTGAACGATTGGAAATGCCATAACTTTGTTGTTGTTAAAGTTAGGAAGTTCGGATTTTTTATGAGTATTAAGAATGCATCATATGAATAATTTTGGAGAATATAATTTACAGAGTATTCTGCAAGGGTATATCAACTTCGGCTCCGCCCGAAGTTAGCTTTCCTTTCTTGTTTAATGTATAACATTGGTTTTTAAAACATGTTTTATTCACTTTCAAAACACGAAACTATCAAAAAATCGAGAATAATTTTGTAGTCTAGAGTATTAGCCAAAATATGTATTTTATACGAATATTTTGTTTTTATTTATTTCAGAGATTCAAAGCAAGGCAAGCTACGAAAATGAGAACATTCAACTTCAAGGGGATCATAAATTATTGAGAGATAAACAAACTGAAGAATCGAATAGCCATTGTCCACAGTTCAACGCGCCAAATTTAAGTAGCTATCACTTCGTAAGTAGCCAAGAGGTAAGTGCTACTACACCCTTGCTTAGCCTGACAGGGTTTTTACTACTAGTAAAGTACACACTTGGGGACAAATAAGCACTAGTATATAAAAATCATTTGTTTTATGAGTAGATCGTTTTTTAATTTGTTTAATATTTTGCGAGCACAATTGTGGATTCATTCCATAATTTTGATTAACAAAGTTAAATAATAAACTGCTCTGTTGTAGTGGCTTGAAAGCCGTTCGCCATATTGTGTCCGTTATAATCAGCAGCAAATAGTTAGTTCTCTTAATATTTATTCTTAGAATTTCCTAAAATTTCAGAAGCAGATTCAAAATATTTTTAAAGTTACAGAAGAAATAGTGAGCACGCGTCGAGCAAGTATACGAGCGGCCGGAAACTTTGATGTGCGATTTCTAAGTTTTTTATTCTTACGATTTCTCCTAACTGGCGGGAAAAAAATTAAACGTCCTATCGAAACGAGATTATTGGATTCGGGATTAAATACTCTTCTATTTGAACTTAAAAAACCTTTAAAAAGTTATGATTAACCCATTTTTATACCCTTGCAGAGGGTATTATAATTTTGGTCAAAAGTTGGCAACGCAGTGAAGGAGACATCTCCGACCCTATAAAGTATATATATTCTTGATCAGGATCACCTCCTGAGTTGATATAAGCATGTCCGTCTGTCCGTCTGTCTGTTTCTACACAAACTAGTCTCTCAGTTTTAAAGATATCGAATTGAAACTTTGCACGCAGTATATAAGTCGGAACGGCCGGGATCGGCCGACTATATCCTATAGCTGCCATACAACTGAGTGATCGGAAATGCCATAACTTTGGTGTTTGTAAAGTTAGGAAGTTGGGATTTTTTATGAGTGTTAAGAATGCATCATATAAATCATTTTGGAGAATATAATTTACAGAATATTCCGCAAGGGTATATCAACTTCGGCTCCGCCCGAAGTTAGCTTTCCTTTCTTGTTTTTCCTAAAACATGTGTACGCAGATCGAGTTTGAAATCCGGCCCGATCGGATGTCTATATCCTATAGCTCCCATAGGAACAATCGGATATAACTTGCAAGAATGGAAGATATTTCGCGCAGTGTAAAAGCTATTGGCATGCATCTTTCCCAATCTTATTATACCCGTTACTCGTAGAGTAAAAGGGTATATTGTATTCGTGCAAAAGTATGTAACAGGTAGAAGGAAGCGTTTCCGACCCTATAAAGTATATATATTCTTGATCAGGGTCACTAGCCGAGTCGATATAGCCATGTCCGTCTGTCCGTCTGTCCGTCCGTATGAACGCTGAGATCTCGGAAACTATAAAAGCTAGAAGATTGGCATTTTGCATGCAGATTCTAGGAGTTCCTACGCAGCGCAAGTTTGTTTCAAAAAGGTGCCACGCCCCTTTAACGCCCACAATCGCTTATATACGATTTTAAAAATTTAAATATTTCGGAAAAGTAAAAATGCAGTTTTATTGTGTTTATCAATACCTATCGAAATGTAGAAAAAAAAAAAAGTTAAAAAAGTTATGCGTGATCAAAGTTTCTATCTCCATCTCCCTCGCACTCCCTTTACCTGAGTAACGGGTATCTGATAGTCGGGGCACCCGACTATAGCGTTCTCTCTTGTTTTTTTATGCATACCTTAATCAGGGTAAAAGCGCGTGCCGATCGGACGTGTATATCCTATAGCTCCCATAGGAACAATAGGGTGAAATCGGTTAAAATTTTATACTTTTCAGGATATATCGCGCATTATATAAGGTATTGACATAAATCTTTTCAAATCTTATTTTTTTATGCATACCTTGATCAGGGTAAATGGGCGTACTGATCAGACGTATATATTCTAAAACTTCCATAGGAATAATAGGTCACAATTTGATGTTTTTCAGGTTATTTCGCGCAGTGTATAAGCTATTCACATCAATTTTTCCAAGTATTACTTATTTACGCATACCTTTCTATATCTTATAGCTTCCATAGAAAATATAAATAATTGTTAAAGACTGTGAAAATATCCTTTTTTTCTATTTTTATATGTCGGCAAGGGTATTAAAACTTCGGCTTGCCGAAGGTAGGTCCCGTCCTCGTTATACCCTTGCAGAGGGTATTATAATTTCAGTCAAAAGTTTGCAACGCAGTGAAGGAGACATTTCCGACCGTATAAAGTATATATATTCTTGATCAGCATCACCAGGAGAGTCGATCTAGCCATGTCCGTATGTCCGTCTGTCCGTCCGTCCGTTTCTACGCAAACTATTCCCTCAGTTTTAAAGCTATCTGCTTGAAACTTTCCCAAAAGTTGTCTATTGCAGGTAGTATATAAGTCGGAACGAGCCGGATAGGGCGACTATATCATATAGCTGCCATATAACTGAACGATCGGAAAAGCCATAACTTTGGTGTTTTTAAAGTTAGGAAGTTGAGATTTTCTATGGGTTTTATTTTTGGCTAATCAATCCGACCTACCGAATTTCATAAGGATCGGACGACTATATCCTATAGCCGCCATATAACTGATTGATCGGAAATGCCATAACTTTGGTGTTTGTAAAGGTAGGAAGTTGGGACTTTTTATGAGTATTAAGAATGCATCATGTAAGGATGTTTTCCCAGCCAGGATATGCTCAGGGGTTGGCTAGGGCCTCCACAAAATATTTATAAATTTACAGTGGACGATGTGGGTTAATCGAGTGAGTTTTTAGGCGTGGTCCTTATAATTAGGAGAAGAAACCGCGACAAAAGGTACGTGGCTGTACCTAAGACTGGCTACTGAGCCCGGGCAGACCCTGGACTTAGTAAACAGTTATCGTAGGAACCTATGTCAGTGATAGGCTTTATCGGTGGCTACCATAAATTTGGTCGAGGCAGGGTTTGGTTACAGTAAAACTTGGGTAGCCCCTTGGATTTTTAATAATTTCTACGATGTAATTCGGGCAGACTCAGGTTTTTAATAAGTACTACGCTAAAACTCGGGCGGACCCAGGGCTTCAGTAATAACTACAGTAAAACTCGGGCGGACCCAGGGCTTAAATAATAACTACGGTAAAACTCGGGCAGACCCAGGGTTTTATTACTAACTAGCAGGGTGCCCGCAGCTTCGCTTGCGATGGATAACCCCAATATCCTACTTTTCTTATGTAATAAGTATGTAGACATGGGGCAGACCACGTTTTTGCCATTCAATAGAATACATAAAACACTGTACTTCACCAAACAATTGGCCTTTAACCAACAGCGCCATTAATGTTTTAACTTTTAAATGAAAGACTCGAGATATGACATGACCTGCATGACGATTCTGAGGTTTTTGGCCTGGAAACAACTCATTCGTTATTTCCTCCCATTAAGGGTTACAGGTAAATGTTATAAAAATATCAGGTCGGCCATGATGTCGAACATAAGTCATGGCATCCTGGGTCTTTTCATGCATACATATATCGAGGAGAGCCTGTAAAAGTGGAAGGTAAAATCACCATCTGACCAAGTTGAGTCATATCTGCATCTCCCCTACCTATAGCGTCTTGAAGATGTACATACGTAACTTTCTGCTCCCAACTTTTTTTGATTTGCTCGAATATAATTAAGCCGTTCGGTTTCCATTTTTGCACTCATATCAACCAAAAATTGATTAAACAGAGCTCTATAATAATTCAAGTGATTGACTTCAGTCTCCCTAAGAATTATTCGATAACTGTAAAAGCTTAATGCAGATACAGTCTTCTTTAGATCATTTTTAGTTAACGGATCCCGTTGGGGAATATTTATGGAATATCCATCATATCCGTGGCAAAAAATTAATGGATATTGTAGACAGTCATAAGATCGGTAAAGTTCACATTGCTATTATGACTCTCAATAACAATATCCCGACTTGGAAATTGTTGATCAACTAATACCAAACCCACTTCATTTGTTTGAGGTGCATTATAACGACCTCTATGAGCATTTGCTGGCTTTTTAACATCGTTAATGACCATTTTGAAGTCTTTGCAATCTTTTGGGTCACCAATAACTATAAACTAATGTCTACAGATATTAAAACCGTATTAAAGCTCATTTTATATTTTTAAGGAAGCGTACGGAAATGCAAGGCAGAGAGAGAGGGAGGGAGATGGAATCATTTGTTGACATTTGTTGACAATTATACAAATATGCAGGCAGAAAACGTATGGTGCTTATGGAGACACTTAAATTCGATAATAGATCGACTTTTTGCTTAGTTTCTTTGTTTAGAAGATAGCTAGAGCTTTGGTGAAACCATCAAATGAATCGTTAAAGCCTAAGGATAAACTTTACCGAAGGAATTTTTGATACTCAGTTTAGAAGTGCCATTTTTCGACGTTTGAAGATATTTTTGGCTAAATTGTAATTTTAGAACGGGTGTTAAAAATAGTAAAAAGCCTTAAATCTAAGCGGTCTAAACATTTATAATGTCTTTAACTATAAAAGTTGTCTATTGCAGGTAGTATATAAGTCGGAACGAGCCGGATAGGGCGACTATATCATATAGCTGCCATATAACTGAACGATCGGAAAAGCCATAACTTTGGTGTTTTTAAAGTTAGGAAGTTGAGATTTTCTATGGGTTTTATTTTTGGCTAATCAATCCGACCTACCGAATTTCATAAGGATCGGACGACTATATCCTATAGCCGCCATATAACTGATTGATCGGAAATGCCATAACTTTGGTGTTTGTAAAGGTAGGAAGTTGGGACTTTTTATGAGTATTAAGAATGCATCATGTAAGGATGTTTTCCCAGCCAGGATATGCTCAGGGGTTGGCTAGGGCCTCCACAAAATATTTATAAATTTACAGTGGACGATGTGGGTTAATCGAGTGAGTTTTTAGGCGTGGTCCTTATAATTAGGAGAAGAAACCGCGACAAAAGGTACGTGGCTGTACCTAAGACTGGCTACTGAGCCCGGGCAGACCCTGGACTTAGTAAACAGTTATCGTAGGAACCTATGTCAGTGATAGGCTTTATCGGTGGCTAC